ATTGTGTGTGTGTGTGTGTGTGGCCAGCTCAGCCCACCAGGGGGCAGGGCTGGCTGGCATGTGGTGCTGGGGGATCGAACCGAGGTCTCTGCTTTGCCAAGCTTGTTTCAAGTAGGTGCTTTAGACCACTGAGCCATCTCTCCAGCCCTATAGTTTAACTTTTAAAATGCTTTCTTCTATCTCTTTGTAGTATTCAGAATATTTTTGTTAGATGACTATTTTTAACAAAATTTCCAAGATAGATTACATTATTTGTATTAATACATTTGAAAATTAACAACATCGGGGAATATCAGAAAATATGTAATTTCCAAAATATTTGCAGTATTCAAGTTTATAATTTATTTTTGTCATGTTTTATTTTGTTACCTTTAGGAAACTGAGAAGGAAGACGTTGGTTTACAGAATGCTGGAGTTGATGAATACCCTGTCACTTTTGAAGATGATTTTGAAGCAAGTATAAAAGCTAAATTATTAGGCCGGGGAAATGGCTCAGTGGAATATGCACTTCCCTGGCAAGCGCAAGGGCCTGAGTTCAATCCCCGGTTCCACCAAAAAAAAAAAAAAAAAAAAACCTAAATTTTTTTACTTAAATGTATTTGCTCTGAAAAAAACAGCTTATGTAATTTAATTGCTCTTTGCCCTCTTCTAATACTGCTAACACTGTCTGGTAAGTTTTGATTATATCCAACTATTACATTTTGGAAGCTTGTTGTACTACTATCAGTTTGTTGAAATGATGTGATAAATTTTATCATTTAATAAGGACTTTGCAGTGATTCAGTTACAATGATTTGCATTACAATGACTCAATCTGCATGAGGGTTACTGAACTTACTTGTCTTAGAAGTGTGAAAACTCATTTGCAGGACTATGAAGACGATTTTGAAGTTTGTGATGGAGATGATGGTGAGAGCAACAGTGAGCCTGAATCAAAAGAAAAAACTGAAGAATTTTCTCTGGCTCGAAAAAGGGAGATACAGGAAATTCAAAAGGCCATTCATGCAGAAAATGAGAGGATTGGAGAACTGTCCTCACAGCGATTTCAGAAGCAGTGTCGGACGGGGCGTGACAAGGGCTCCCAGGCAGGTGCGTGGGCAGGGCTGGTCACAGGGCTGTGTGCTGGTGAACCTGGCGACATCTGCTGCAGGTGCAGTCACTATGGCAAAGTGGGCAGACAGCTCAGGGCCTCATGCGTCTTGACGGTGCCATGCTCCTTGCCTGTGACACGAGAGCTACTCGAGGTGAAGATCCTGCATCTAAGGACCCACTGTGAGAAGAGGCCCAGTCACTCTTGTGCACAGGGAAGCCACCCCAGAGTGCATGGTGCTCTCTGCTGTGAGCACGCCTCCCTCCCCCCGGCTGTGCCTGGCAGTGCTCACCCTGAGCACCCACGAAGAGTGGCCACAGTGCGGGCAGCAGGCCCAAGGCCAGCAGCGAGGCTCTGCCAGCAGGTGGAGGCCCGAGGCCAGCAGGCCCAGGCATGGTCTCTCAGGAGACAGACTCCCCGGCTTCTCTCCGGGATTCTTTCTGGATTTAGGACTATGTTTTCCTCCCAAATTCTTAGCATTGGGCCATGATAGGTTACTTATAAAAGTGGGAGGAAATGTTTTAAAATCACTTAATGATAAAATGTTTGCACTAAAAGTAGCATTTAAAGTAAAATAGGAGGGGCCAGGGAGATGGCTCAGTAGAATAAGCGCTTGCCAGGCAAATGCAAGGGCCTGAGTTCAATCCCCAGTTCCACCAAAAAAAAAAAAAAAAAAAAAAGGTAAAATAAAGCATGATACATAGTATTTAGTGTTATGCTACCTTAAATCACCTTGTAATTAGTAATTAATTAGTTATAATCAGTAACTAGTAAGTATAAGAATACAAGTAAAAGTCTGAAAGAAGAAGAATCATTGCTTTCATATTTTGTGCCTGCTGTAGAGGTGGTGAAACTGGCGGTCAGTGCAAATATTTAGGCGCTCTTTGAACTCATAAATAAAAACATCCTGGCAGGAACTGGGAGGCGTAGGTCCCCACCCATGACTTCACTGCAGATCAGCCAGTGTCTAGGGTCCTTTGTGGCAGCTCATGGCCCTGGAGTGGCTAGACTGAGTGAGATTTTATTCTTACAGTGTTTGCTTTTCTCAGCACACCTGTAATGGCCTCTTTTATTACCTAATTCCTACACTGATGCTTAGTCTCCTAGCCGCCTAGGTCTGACCTACTGGGTCAGCTCTGTACCACAGCAGAAGTGGTTAGCAGTGTTTGCTCTCAGCTGCCCTGGCCCTCACTGCAGAGCTGGTGTGGGTGGATGGGGGCTCTGCACAGCGGAAGTGGCAACTAACATTTAGTTGGCTGTCCCTTGCTGGCTAGAGGACAGTTAGGGTTGTTGTTAACTGAGTACTTAGAAGACCACTCCAAGGATGTTGCCTACTGCTGCAGTTTCATTCCTACCATCAAGTGGCTGATTGTGGCTACTGTCTGTGTCCTGCTTGGCTACTGTCTGTGCCTCTAGCTGTCATGGTGCTATTTGTGTGAATGTCCTGCTTCACCCTGGGGTTGATCTGGTTATAAACAGCACAACTTGTCTTTTTTCAAGGCAGTAGGAGCCACTTGACAAGTGGCCTTTTGCAGAGCACCAGGTATACTGTGGTGTTTTAAAGTACTCATGTACCTCTAGAGGTAAGTTGCCCACATGGTCGGTGAGTGAGTGTTGACCAAGGGCTGGCCTTCAGCACAGAGCTGCCTTAGGAATTTCATTACCAGAATCTTAACCCTATGCCTGTAGAGATGTCTACCAGATTCCTAATCTTTAAATCTGAAATCTGTGTCTCTTAAGGCACTTTGAAGTTAGCACCCTGTTCTTCCAAAGTGTGGCCTGCTGTAAACCTCATCGTAATCTGCATAGCAGGGGTTCTGATCTCAGGAGATACAAGTGCTGGGTTGAAGTGACCTCTCGCATCATGAGGAGTCCTCACATGCTGGGACCTGAACTCGGGTCTCCCAGCCCAGACGACTGTGTCTTCTGAGCTCCCTCAGCAGCAGTGGCCTCAGGAATCATAAAGACCTCTGGGAGGTTGTGAAGCTGTGAGATGGTATAATTGTTTGTTCTGCCATTGGTAAGTTCAGATACATATCCACAAGGAATGAGAGACAGATTAAGATATAATTAAATTAACTATATAAATTAAATACATAAAATAAATCCAGAACTGTTCCTGTCTCTAACCACCCCTCCCTGCAGGAAAGACAGGGGCTAGCGAGGTTGTTCAGTGGGCCAAAGTGCATGCGTAGGCAAGTTTAGGCAAGTACAGGGCCCGCTGCTTGATCCCTGGCATCACATGCTCCCCAGCCCTGCCCTCAGGCTGGGCTGCGCTGGCCAGAGTCCGGGTGTAGGGGAGCACGCCTGTAATCCCAGCACTGGGGATGCTGAAAGCAGGAGGCTCACCGTGAGTCTGAGCTGCACAGTGAGCCTCTGCAACAACCAAATACATTAAAATAAATAAACAAATTATGTGGACAAATGCAAACCGCAGCAATCCCTTGGAGGAGAGGGGCGCTGCAGACTGGCTCCTCCATAAGAAGGGTGATGGGATTAGTTCGCTTTCAGCAGCACGTGTGACAGAGTGAGGGACTGATTCAGCAGCAATTCCCTCTTCAGTAAACTTGTGTCACCTTCCCCGTCCGTGGGGCACACGTTCGGACTGCGGGCAGGCGCGGGCATGTGGTTTCTGTCTCTGAGGGCATGCGGATTCTCCATACTCTACACTGCCTGGCTTCTTCCCATGCTGTGTGGCATTGCCATGTGGAGTACCCCTGTGCTGGTCCTGGTCCTTGCTGCTTCTCTGCATTTCACACTTTGTATCCTTCATGCAGCATAACCCTAAAGACCTGGTGTCACTGCATTTGAATACTTGTGTTAGCTGGGTCCTTCCTCAGCTCTTCTGGAAATGTGGCAGTGCCTTCATCTGCAGATGTGGCTTACCCAGCAGTTTCTGTGTTTTTCAGTCCAGAACTGTGCCTGTCTCTAACCACCCCTCCCTGCAGGAAGGGCAGGTGCTCTCATCTCAGGGGGTCCCTTGCTGAAGTCTGCACAGGCTCATTGCCTTCTGGCACAGCGCCTTGCCATTGTTGCTGTCAGCTGGGATGTGTTGTCTGTGTTTTCCAGTTACAAACTCAAGCCTTTCCTGCCTTACCTAGAGCCCCATTGTGCACGGGCACCCTAAGCACAGCTGCGTGGTGTGCAGCAGCAGAAATGGCATGTTTATTTTTCCTTTCATGCTTTTGGGATAGAAATTCTTCATTACCTTAGAACTTTGAAGCATATAGTCTTTTCTTTTTTTTTTTGCAGAGCCAGGGATTGAACTCAGGCCCTTGCACTTGCCAGGCAAGCATTTATTCAACTCAGCTATCTCCCCAGCCTCTATTTCTAAGTTTTTTTTTAAATCAAGAAGTATCAGAAGCCAGGCATGGTGGCACATACCTGTAATCTCAGCATTTGGGAGACTGAGGCAAGAGGATCATTGCAAGTTCGAGACCAGCCTGGCCTTGAACAGTCAAGGCTAGCCTGAACTGCGTCATGAGAGCCTGTCTCAAAAAGACAAGAAAGAAAGAAAGAAAGAAAGAAAGAAAGAAAGAAAGAAAGAAAGAAAGATTGATAGATTGCCCTTTTACTTAAAGGGCACACTTTATTGCTTCTCTTTGGCACAACTGGATGGCTGGCACACTGCCGTTATGCTTTGAGGCCATTATTAAGTAAAAGAAAGGTCCCTTGAACACAAGCCCTGAGCACTGGAGCAGTGGATCTGATAACTGAAGCGGCTGCTGAGTGACTAACCCAAGCACTGGATACACTGGAAAGGGGCAGTGGGACTTACATCTTGCTACTCAGAATAGCATGCAGTAGAAAACTTAAGAATTACTTATTTCTGGAATTTCCCACCGAATATCTTCAGACCGGTTGGCTATGTGTGACTAAGCCTTCAGAAAGCACACTCACGGTTAAAGGGGAGCTGTTGTGCAGTGTGGTAGTTATTCCTTTATTTTGCAGGATGGGTGGGCACTGAGGGCTGCATCTAACATATATTCTTAAATATTTCTCAAACAGTTTTTTGAGCAGGCAAGGCCTCATAGTGTATCTCAGGTTCACCTCAGCCTTGCCACATGGCTGTCCTCAAATTTACAATCCTCTTGCCTCAGCCTCACTGAGGCTGATCCCTGGCGTGAGGTGGATCACTGGCATGTTCCACCTTACCTTGTAGGACTCATTGGTGTGTTGGTGTATTCTAGGGAGAAATAGTGGCAGGAATGAGGAAAAGATAGACAAGAAGACAGAGCTGGGTCAGGTGGTGGCTCATGCCTGATTGGCAGAGAACCCCAAGAACAATAGTTGGGGCATTTATTTATACCTTTGCAAAGTTAGTATCACAAGACAAGGTTGCCTAGTGACTAATAGCTGATATTGACCAGGCAGGATGCTTTTTTCAACACTGAGGAAGCTTGACTGCCTTAGGTACTGTCGCTTTGGGGTGTGTGTGTGTGTGTGTGTGTGTGTGTGTGTGTTCTGCTTTTCTCTTGGTCTGAAGGTTTTTGATGAGGCAGCAGGAGCTGGCCTCTTAAATGTCCATGCAAGTTGTTTATTGTTAGCAGTTTCAAATATAGAGCTTATTGAACATGATTGTTATATGTACTTCTAATGGTTTTACTGTGGATTTTCTTTGCTCAAGTATTTTCTTATCATAAATATATCTAAAAATAGTTTTATTATCTTGAATAGATCCAAATGGTTCTCCTTCCAGAGCACCTGTTTGTGGAATTTTTGTGGATTTTGCAACAGCCTCACACCATCAAAAGAGTCGGACTCAGGCCCTTAAGCAAAAGTAGGTATTTTGGGGAATTTGTCAAAGATACAGTGGAGTTTTTGATATGCTTTTAAGGGCAGAGCTGTAGACATGATTTTCCCTGTTGCCTGTTTAGGTGTACTCTGTAATTTGTGCTACATTCCTCTTGGAGTTGAGGTGTTATGTTAATAGTACAAGTGCATGTGCTATTGTATGCTGGGTGCTTGCTGTACAAGTTCCTGGTCAGATTCACAGCTGGCTATTGATGGTACTCTGGCAGTCCATGGCCTGTGTGGTGCTGGGGCTGGGCCCACACCTGCACGTTCACAAATCTGGAGAGCTCCAGGTCCCCAGGCAGAGCAGGCCTGGTTGTATTGTGTCTCGGGGCTGTCTCTACCACAAGAAGCCCTGAGAGCTTTGTACTGCAGGCGTCAGGGGGAGGCTGAATATCATGGTGGGAAGTGAGTGATGGAGCAGCGTGGTTCACCAGAAGCAGAGAGAGACAGAAAGGACTGGGGCACGATGCCCCCTTAAGATCAGGCCCCCTGTGACCCGCTTCCTCCAGCTGGCTACCTCCCAGCAGCCCAGCAGCTGTGAATGCACCTGTTGGCAGTTCATAATTTCATCGGCACTTGGGAGGTGATGGGCACCCAGAGGTGGGAGCCAGCTGAGGGAGTGTGTGTCCTGCCCTGGCCCCTCCTCCCTTGTCTCTCTGTCATTCTGCATCCTGTCTGCCCTGAGGTGAGCATCTCTTCCCCTGCATGCTCTCCATGACAGGTGCTGCCTCCCACGGCTATGGGAGTGGGGCCAAGTGGCCTCAGCTAGAATCGCTGCTATGTGGGCTAGCATGAGTTTCTACCTTAAGTTTTTCTTTTTTCAGGGACTTTGTTTCAGAGATGCAAAACTGACTAACACAGGTGCCATAAAATATTCATGAATCAAAAACCTAAATATGGTAGGGCACCAGTTTCTCATAAAATAAATATAGAGCGAATGCCATTCCAATTTTTAATCACAGCAGTGTGTGTGTATGTGTGAATTCACCATTCTGGAATGCTGCTTCTAGAATGTCAAGGTTGCAAGTAGTGAAGACTGTGTCCAAGAGGAACACATAGTCAGAACCCTCAAACTCAGATGTCAGGTGAGTTTAAGGGTCCAATAACTGAATGGTGTCCTTGGCCCAAGGACAGAGTGGCCCGGTCAGAGGCGGAGTCCAGGGCGTACTCAGATCCCCGTGGTGCTGGACTGCATTGTCACTGCACACCCAGGGAGAGTGGGGGTCTCCCGTGCAGGGCACTGCAGCAGGTAGGTACACGTGTGCAGAAAAGGACCCCGTGTCTCACACTCAGGAGGGTGTGACAGACCAGGGAAAGCGGAGGCGGTAGATGCCACGTGCTTGAAGGGTTTTGGAGGTAGTGTCTTGGAAAATTATGAGATGGTGGCTGACACATAAGATAACAGAAGCTACAGTTTGGGTTTTTTTTAACTTTTTTTTTTTTTTTTTTTTTTTGCGGAACCGGGGATTGAACTCAGGCCCTTACACTTGCCACGGAAGCGCTTATTCCACTGAGCCATCTCCCCGGTTCCCAGAAGCTACAGTTTTTGATAAAGCAAAACTGCAGATGAATGAGCAGAAGAAGGCAGAGGAAGGGACAGGTGAGGGTAAGTCAGGCTGTGGATGGGGGAGACCATTCATTTGTTCACTGGCGCAGTGTATATTATTGTGCCCTAGTTATGTGAAAGAACCTGAAAGAAAGAAACAAGCCCTTAAGCATAAGCCCTCGCTTATGTTCAGGGAGGAGTAGCAGAGAATTGAACTTGGAAACATCAGTGTTAAGGTATCTGGAGGAAAAGGAGAGTCCAGCCCAGTGAGGGAAGGGGCAGTCTTCAAGGAAGAGGAAGCCAGCAGATGCTCCTGTTCCTGAGGCTGTGGGTGATTTACATTGTCAGGTGCCACCTGGACACCAGCGTCCTGTGGGGAGGGAGGTCTGGATGCCTGTGCAGCTGTACAGCCTGTCACTTCCTGGCTGTCTTGGTTACTTTTCCTGTTGCTAAGACATAGTAGCCAAGCTCCAAGGTTAAAGGAGCCAAGGTTTACCTAGCTCATTGCTTGTGGAGGTTTCAGTTCATAATGGGCTGGCTCCAAAGGAGGGTGGCACGTGGCAGAGGAGCTGCAGAGTTCACGGCTGCAAAAGATACAAAAGCAGTAACGGAGAGAGAGGAGACTGGCCTCTTTCTGTCTCTTTCATGGTATTCAGGCTATAGCACTCCCTCCTTTAATCCCAGCATTAGACTGTCAATCAATTAGAAACGCTAGATCCAGCCACCTCTGAAGAGCACCCCCATGAATGCATGTGGCCTTTGGGGGACATCTAGACACAAGCTGTAATGCTGGCTGATGTGGCAAACATGTTGTTCTTTAGCAGAGTGTCCACTAGGCAAACATACATCATAACTACTTGTGTTGACCTCAGGTGTCCTGAACTGGTTTACCACACTGTGATGTACTCCCATCCTTGGTTCTTGTGTGACCATCTTTTACTCTTACTTTTAACAACTGTTAAGTACCTCAGGCTCACACCCACACAAAAGTCTTTGCTAATAACCTCAGTATGATTCCTCCCATCCTCATGCACCTCCCTGTATATACTACTTAATTTAACTTTTGTCTCATTTCCAATTTATTTTAAAGGTCAAGAAGTACAAAACTGCTTCGGCTTATTGACTTGGATTTTTCCTTCACTTTCTCTCTCATGGATTTGCCACCAGTTAATGAATATGACATGTATATCAGAAACTTTGGGAAGAAAAATACCAAGCAGGTCAGTACAGGGTGCATTTGCTCAGTGACAAGAGGCAACCTGAGTGTCATTTTGTGCCTCCCGGGTCTTTTTCTAAAATGTAAATGTTTAGGAATGGTCTGCAGAGGTAGTTGTTTAGGGAGAAGGCAGTCCTTCATCATGTGGTGCTCATTAGCTGGAGAGCTTGTGGGAAGTCAGCTGGGAGGTTTCCCAGAAGCCACGAAGAGCGCAGGCCAGTGATTTCTACGTGGAAAGCTACACAGGGCAGGGCAGCAGTTCCTGCTCTGAGTGCAGCTTTACATGGTGCAGGTGTTTCGTTGGAAGCTAGAGTGTGCAGGTTGGGTTTGGTTCTCAGGTCCCAGGTGAGCAAGGGGCGTCATGCTGGTCTGCATGAAGCGTGTGTATGCCGAGGGTCTTAGGGGGGTAATTCCTGTACTCTCAGTGTGGTATTCTGGCTTCTGTCCTTCTCCAGAGCCTTCACTCCTGGTCTGTCACTGGGCCAGGCTGCTCCATGTCTTGTTTAGGCTGTCCTCCTTCTCTTGGCCTCATCTGCCTGATAAGTTTCAAGGCCTGTTCTGTAGGACCAGGACCCTTTTCCTGATAACTTATTCTGAGTTTCCTCCTTTTCCAATGTTGCTACCCTGTATCCCATACAATTTTGTGCTTCCCAATAGTACTGCCAGTAAACAGTTGTGAGATAGTGTAAGTTCATAGCAAGGGTATAAAGTCTTCCTTTTTAGGGGCTGAGGATTGAAGTCAGGGCCTTGTGCAAACTAGGCAACCACACACGGAGCTGTATCCCCAGCCTGGTATAAAGTGTTTGAAGTCGTATATCCCATTTCCTGTTTTCCTCTGTTCCTGATAGTGGGGCCGTTCATCGCACACAGTCTGCGTGGTCCGAGCAGTCCTGATTAGGAGGACGAGGTTTCACAGCTCAGACCCAGGGAAGCTGACAGGTCCTACCCGTCTGCCTGAGACTCACTCGACCTTACTAGATCAAACACTCTTTGCTTGTTTTTCCTCTCTCTCTAGCTATTGGTAACAAGCCATCTTCACTAAATTATACGTACCTTTTTGAAATAGCAAAAGTATATTGGTTTCATAGTGCTGGTATGTTTTGTGAAGATAGCGTATGGGCAGGCTAGTGGCAGTGTCTTCAAAGCAAAGCTAAATTGCTTGACATGATTTTGGAAACCTTTTGGAAATTAGGCCTGTATTCATCAAATATTTGACGGTAAGCAATCTTTGTGTGATCATTATTTATATGACAGTACTGATTTTGACACACAGAAAAGGACTTCTTTTAACTTTTTAAAACTTGTAATTGCTTTTATTACCGAGTGGTAATTCTCCGTACCTTTGTTTTTAAGGCATACGTTCAATATAATGAAGATAATGTTGAAAGAGACATTCAGACTGAAGACATAGAAACCAGGGAGGCGTGGACCCAGCATCCTGGAGAAGGCGCTCTTGTGTCTGGAGGTCGCCTGCCTTTATGTTCTTGTTTTATTTTTATTTCTCTTCTTGTTCTTTCCCATTGTGTCATTCTCTGGTGTGCTTAACAGTATTAGACTATGCAAATACTTAGTATTCTTTGAAATAGACTCTGTTGTCAACTGTTGCCTATTAGAGCTACAAGAAGGCTTTAATTGCCCTGGAGTGGGGTCTGGGCCTGAACGGGATTGAGAATCTGCACAGCAATTCCCTAATCCAAAGACCCACCTGACACCTGGGCTTGTGGAACACATTCTGCTTTTAAGATGGTGATAGTCTGAGCTTATCAATATGGAATTTTCATTTTTTAAAGTGTGGTTTACACATGAAGTCCATCAGTATGGATTGAAGGTACTGACTAGATATCTGCAGCTATTTACATGCAAATATTTTATTGGTTTATTCTTCTTCTTGAGGAATTGTTCTTTTTTTCCTTGTACTGGGGATCAAACTCAGGACCTCATACTTGCCAAGCAGGTGTTACGCTGTTGAGGTGTCTCCCTGGCCCGAGAAATTATCTTTATACAGCAGGGAATTATTTCCTTTCCTCAGGTAAGCCTCACCTTAAGAGAGTAATATAGCTTGAGGGTTCCTTATTCAGAATGGTTGGTACTAATAAGTATTTGAGATTTTGGATTTTTTGATTAGGGATGCTCAATCTGTATGCCTAAATTTGGTACTTAACAGGATGAACTGATTCCCCCTCCTTTTTTTTTTTTTTTTTTTTTTTTTTTTTTTTTTTTCTTTGAGATAGGGTCTCACTGTGTAGTTTAGTCTGGTCTTGAACTTACTATGTAGCCTACACTGACCTCAAACTCATAGTGATTTTCCAATGTAGGCCTCTTGAAAATGAATTGACTCCTTTAATTATTTTCTACATTTAAATAAGATTCAGTTTATATACTTTCCCTAAAATGCAATTGCTTTTGGAAAAAAATCAGTCAAAGATCTGGAGAATAGCTGGACATGATGGTGCACACCTGTGATCCCGGCGCTCAGGAAGATGAGACAGGAGGATCACTGTGAGTTTGAGGTCAGCATGGGTGACATAGTGAGTTCAAGGCAAGCCTGAGCCTCGTAGGCAGACCCTGTCTTGCAACAAAACACAACCCAAAAAACAAACACCCCCCCAAAAAAAAGATCTAGAGAAAATAATACAAAGTTTTCTAACTTTTCCTTCTAGAACTCTTAATTTTCTTTCCTTTTTTAAATTTTTTTTTTTGGCAGGATCTTGCTTTATAATGCAGGCTAGCCTTGAACTCACTATGTAGTCTAGGCTGGCTTTGAACTCAGGCAGTCCTCCTGCCTCCGGCTCTAAGTAATGGGATCACAGGCATGCGCCACCATGCTTGGTTTTAATTTTTATTTTTAACATTTCTGAACTCTAAGATGTGCAAAATACAGCCACTTTAAAATCAACTTTGTTTTTAATGTAATCTATTTTCTTAGGTAGTGAAGAAAGAGAAACATCTGATGCTACATTTGTACCAAAGATTGATACTCCAAGGTTATCTAACTTTCTCCGGGCAGCCTGTCAGGTATACTTTATGTTATGTAGTCTATTCTCTATGTGAGTACTTAAAAGATTTCAATATATATAAAAGCATAGGAACTACTGCAATCTTGGAGAATTTATAGCTTAAACTAGAGTCAGTTATTCATTTTCATATATTATTTTCTTACAAATTACCCATGTTACATTCATAAGCCATTGTATGCAAAGTGGCACTGGGAACTTTGTATCACCAGAAGTTCTACCTATGCTGCTAGGTTCTATAGTTTGATATTAATATCTTAAATTTAAAAGTAACTGCAGAGTAAAACTGAAACATATTAAGTTCACAAGTAAGCATAATGTAATTATTTGAAAATAATAAATTTGCGATTTAAAAAAATTGATGATAGAAACTTTCAAGTATATAGAAAAGTAAAGGACATAGTCCTGCGAATACCCTTGTGCCTCAGTCCTCATCCACTCATGCCTGCTTGTCCTGTTGATACCCTCCCCTCATCCCCCTAGCTGCCATCCATGTGGCCAATTATTTTGAAATATATCCCAGTTGTTGCAACTTTGCCTCCATAAGTAGGCTGCATAAATCTCTAAATAAATCTATAGAAGCATTATTACTAATAATTTCTAATATATTAAATATGAAGTTGATGTTCAAATTTCCTGTTACCTAAAAACATTTTTTCATGGCTGGGGATTTGGCTCAGCGGTAGATTGCTTGCCTAGCAAGCTGGAAGCCCTGGGTTCTATCCTCAGCACCAAAACCAAAAAATAAACCTCCCCTAAAAACCAATTCAACCATAAATTTTTTTTTTCTATATAAGCTTCAAATTTGAATGTAGAGCTCAAATAAACGATGTAACATCGCCAAGCCTTATCATGGCATATATTAAGCTTACTTATCAGAGTATCAGGTGTTCAGAGCTAACTCTGATAGACAGGCTTCATACAAGCGTAACTCTGATAAGTAACCACAGCCAAAACCATGCTAAGCCAGTCAGTGCACTGAGCCAGTCATCACATGTCTGTAACCCAGCCTAGGATAGGATGAGGCTTCGGGGGACATCTAGGTCCAGTGTGAGCCATGCCACACCCTGACTCTGTCCGCGGGAGAAGGGTGCAGGTGCTCGCCGATGGTCGCCCTGCTACTGCGTTCATTTAGTGGTGTCTGGTGTTCAGCCCTTTTTCTGTCTCTAATTTTCAGCAGTATATCTGGTGGGAAAATTCTCCCAGCATTTACCTTGTCTTTTTTCTGTTCGTTTCTGTTATTATTATTATTATTCTGAGATAGGTCTTGCTATGTATTTCAGGCTGGCCTTGAACTCACTGTGTTGCTCAGGCTGACTTCAAACTCATGTCATTCATGCTGCCTCAGCCTCCCAAGTGCTACGATAAAAGTGTGTGCCACCACACCCAGCTTAGTTTACGTTATTATTCAGAAAGGATCATACGTTTTTAAAGTTTGTATAATATGGTGGAGCCAAGCGTTTATTTGTAGAAGTGGCTAAGATGCAAGGGTGATTTTTTAAAAGATGAAATGACTCGTTGTGAATTTACAGTGTTTTCCGAAATAATACTTGCTTGTCTTTGAAAGGTGATTGCTGTTTTGCTTGAAGAGGACCGTTTGGCTGCTGAACCCACCTGCAGTCCCAGGGCACACGACAACACCTTGTCTATCAGTGACAGCGCCTCCCAACTGAATACTGGCCTGCCGTTCCTTCAGGGTAAGAGGACTTTCTGGACCGGCTCGGACTCGGACGCTGAGGCGTTTATGTTGAAACGGTTGCACTGCATTCTGTTTTACTGCGGTGATGTGGCTTACTGTGTCTAAACACAAAGACCCAGTTTCTACAGAACTGAAAAGTGGTTAGGTTTTTTTTAATATGTATGAAATTTTTTATTAGAAATTTTCGTAAGTTGAATAGAAGAAGAGCTACAGTAGTTTAGTGAAATTATTTAAATGCTGAAAAGCGAAGTTGTCTGTGTTTGCTTTAAGGGCTTTCATCCTTCCCCTGCAGTCACCTGGCTGCTTTGGTCTCTTGGAACAGGTCAGAGGGAATGCAGCCGTGCAGGAGTGATTAAGGGTGAGGAGGGTGTGAGGGAGGTGCTTTGTGCTTAACACAAGCACACTTAGATGTCTTGGCTTCGTCTGTGGTTACAGAGCAGAAAATGGTAAATGAAGCATGTGATACTGAACATAAAGACTATGTGCATGTAATTATGTAAATTAGTTTAGACACTGCGTTTATAAGATTGGAATTTCTGTAGCTAAAAATAACATGTTGGCCTTTGAGAAACGTGGCTAGCAAGGTAGATTGTGGCCCTCAGGGCCCTGGTGTGTGAGAAGTGTGACAGGAAGGGAGGGCCGGTCCTCTTTCCGGGTCCTCCACAGTCAGCTTCTCTGCGCTTGAGGCTGCAGATGTGCTTGGGCCACAGGAAGCCGGAGCCTCGGAGCCTCTTGCTCGAGGCATTTCTTCTTTCATGCCTGTACTTAGAGGCTGATGAATGGGTGTTCCTCGGTCTTTTAACATTAACAGAAATGTCATTATTCACTTAAATCTTCACACTCTTTCAAAATACTTTATCTCACACAAGAGTTGTCCTGTTAGAAAACTAGTAAACCATTGTGTGTGTAGTATTTAACACACTGACCACACCCGCATCCTACACACAAAGAAGCAGAAGGGAAGATGCTCTAATCTCAAAGACCAGAGTAGGGTGGCAGCAGATACCAAAAATGTTAATTATACATATTGCTAGAATCTTTCAAAAATTAATTCATGTTTATTCTTAACAGACTAACACATGTGAAAGGAGTAGAGGTTTTTCTACTTGCTCACTTTTGTGTTTTAGTAAAATAAATATTGAGATAACAGGAGGAAAATGAGGTCAGGGAAGAGGGGGCCCCGACATTTTTGTGAATGTCGTAGTGAACCTACCATCTGACCACATAATGTCCTGATCTTTGGCTGGACACAGCCGTACTTCAGCCCTCACCACCGTCATGGTCAGGGTGTGTCACAGCAGGCACACCTGTGACAGTCTGTGCATGCAGTCATTGCATGTGTGCAGCCTTCTGTACCCTAGGCACCACTGACTGAATGGGACAGGCAGAAACCCTGGCCTCCTGGAACTGTTATTTTGATGGGTCAAATAGGTCACAAATGGGCAAATTAAGTGAAGTGTGTGATAACTTAGAAAGGGATAAGTTCTAAGGAGAAAAAAGACAACATCTGGTATAGAAGGCCTCATACTGGGTAGCGACCAGTGGGAGGGAGAAAGTGAGTTCTGAAGTGGTAGGGAGCTTCCTGCAGAGAGCGTGAATCCAGGCATCCCTGAGTCCCGTTGAGCCAGCAAGACCCAGGGAGGACTAGGCAGGGGCAGCAGGTCAAAGCTCCTGTTAGTCTTTCAAAAGTCAGATCTGCTAAAACATGGTGCCTCCTAAAAATCACCACACTATGGAAAATTTCCAGGAAAAACCATAGGATTAATGGGATTGTGGGGTCCAGGCTCAGAACTCAGAGAAATTGTTAGTATCACCTAAGAACAGGAAGGTGGTACAAATAGTAGTTTTGCTCATGTTAGGTAATTAAGAAGCACAAACTACTATGGCCCTTCCCTAGGAAACTGAAGTTTGCTGTGGAGGGTTCCTGAGGCTGTGGTGTGAATGTGGGGGCAGGGGTGTTTGTCCCTGGGTATGGAAGGAGAGGGTCACCGTGCAGTGAGCTGAGGAGCTGCTGGGTGTTTAGGGTTTATGAGCCGTGCAGTTTCTGTGTTCACCAAGTGCCTCCCAGCAGTACTGTCTAGAAAGAACTATAGAACTGTAAAGTTCTCATGGATTCTTCCTTAATGTCCTTCCATTTTTATCTGTACCTTCTGCTGATTATGAGAGCTGTCAGTTCACTAGACCCAAGTCTTGTCGCGATGAAGCACTGGTACAGAGCTGCTTGCAATATGGTACCCTGAAGGCTAAACAGCTTTGAGGTCCCCAGTGGTAGAGTCCATACGCTGCGCGGAGCACAGGGCTGCTTCTGGCCGCGCCGTGTCACCTGCCCTGCGGTTCTGCCCCAGCCTAGTTCCCTGGGAGTTGCTGGCAGACAGGAGGAAGCACCTTGCCCAGGCTATGCTACACCAAAGCTGACTTCTCTTCAGCAAAGTACAGCATTGCCTTGGACAGAGCACTCAGGTACAGGCTGTGGCCTTTCATTGAAACCTGGATTTCAGTGTTTCAGTTTTGGAATGATTATCTCTTCATTAATTTGAAAATTTTTTTTTAATTTTCATTTATTTATTTGTGTGTGTGTGTGTGTGTGTGTATGTGTGTGTGTGTGTGTGGCCAGCTCAGCACACCAGGGGGCGGGGCAGGCTGGCATGTGGTGCTGGGGGATTGAACCGCGGTCCCTGTGCTTTGCTGAGCTTGTTCTAAGTAGGTGCTTTAGACCACTGAGCCATCTCACCAGCCCCATTAATTTGAAATTTGAATAACCTGACACGTGTTAATTTTAGTTGGCATCTGGCCGACTGCTAAAATGCAAAAGCATGTTTCTAATCTTATCCGCAGACCGGAAAGTATCCTGCTTGCGCGCCTCTCAAGTTCAGAGACAGATGGTGGTCTCGGTCCACGACTTGCCTGGAAAGGCATTTGCCCAGCCACTGGACCACAGATACATCCTCTGCGTTTGGGATATTTGGCAGCCTTCAGGGCCCCAGAAGGTTCTGATATGTGAGTCCAAGGTACACTCAGGGAGAGAATGTGGGTTTGCCGAGGGGAGAGGAGGTGGGTTTGCTGAGGGGAGGGGAGGTGGGTCGACAGCAAAGGCACAGAGAGAGCGTGGGCATCTGAGGACAGCAAGGTGTAAAGCCAGGGGCTGGCGCACAGCTGCCCCAGCTGTGCCACAGGTGTGGCAAGGCACATGGGTATGTTTGCCTTGGCTCTAGAAATTCTTGGTTCAAAGAATTGATTCAGACTGAGATTATCATGGGGCAGGTGAGAATCGAGATTGAGGGTGGTTATAGGCCTATTAACAACAGTGGCCTACCTGAGTGCTGCTCTGGGATACAGATGTGTCCTTCACTGGCTTGCATTGTTTGGGTTCAGGATGTGTCGGAGATTTCTGGAAGCCCGTGTGATTTCTTCAAAGGGTTGGAGTGCTCTTTGACTTACTCAGAGAACCAGTCCCCACGTACCTGTGCGCTCTTGCTGGGGCTCCTGGCAGGAACCCCACAGGGGAGCCACCCCTCGCATGTCTCCCACCTGATTAGGAAAACACTCTATTTACATGTTCTTTCACCTGAACACCACTGGTTCTCTCAAAGCCACAAAGAAGAACTTGAATGGGTGCTAGATTTAGGGGCTTAAAAATAACACTTATTTCCAGATTTTTTTTTTTTTTTTGCAGAACCAGGGATTGAACTCTGGTCCCTGCGCTTGCCAGGCAAGCACTTATTCCACTGAGCTATCTCCCCAACCCCTAAAAATGGCAGAAGGATTTTTTTTTTTGGAGGCCTCAAGATGCCTTGAGGGCATCTCTGGTTTCCTGGGAGAGACTGGGTTTGAACCAGAGCATCTTGAGCCTGACAGCTTTGTTTAAGCAGGCACGGAAACAACTGCGCTAGTGGGCAGTCCCCCAACACTTCTTTCCAATACAAGATGTAAGTAAAATGACAAAGGATGCCATTTTCATCTCGGAGATGAGCAGGAGGGATAATGCAGCTTTTTGTGTACTCAGATGTGTGCGAGACACTTTGTGGCCACAACAGCCCTGCAGGGTGGGCTTTACCCTCCTTTCCACTTGAAGAAACTAACTCTCAGACAGGTTAACAGATTTGACTTGTGTTCTGCTCCCTTCACCCCACGGCTTCCTGGAGTGAAGGAAGGGCAGGTGCCTCACATTGTGGGGTGAGCGCTGCTCCTGTGAACATGGCCTTACCCATTCCACTCCTCTGCCTGTTTTTCTTTTTAGGTCACATGTTGCAGCTTTAGCCCATTGAAAGCATTTCTGCTGTTTGCTGGAACTGCGCATGGCTCTGTCATCGTGTGGGACTTGAGAGAAGACTCCAGGATACATCATTATGTGAAGCTGAGTGATTGTCCTTGGACCTTCAGGATGCCCACGTTTTCCACGGGTCAGTGTCACAGGTCTGCCAACCGTATGTTTCTGGAAGAGCCCATGACAGATCTGGGATGAAATCTCAAATTTATTTGCATTTATTCATTCATCTTACCCAGAGCATAGGATCTAAGCCATATAAGAGGCGTTTGATTAGAACAAAAGCAAAGTTCTTTGAAGTCATCCTTACCCAGTAGCCAACAACAATTGGAATTTTGTGGGTTACAAAAGATTTCAACCAAATAACTTTGAGTTTTAAATTAGTGTAAGTATGTTGGAATGTGCATGGTCCTGTGGCATAGTTACTACTGCCTAAAGTAGTAAAGCCAGCCAGTGGTGGGGATGAAGGAGAACAGCTGGACTCCCTGGGGCCCGTAGTTGTACTTAGGTGAGCAATTCCACTGTGGAGACCATAGCAAGTAATAAGCACTTCCTGTGTCTAGTACTCTGTGAGCACTTTGCCTACATCTGCTCGCTTCGCTCTCTCACATACCATGCGTCCCAGCACACTCCTCTGTGGAATGTTTGCTGAGGCCACGCTTACGGAGGGCAGGCTGTCTTCATCTAAATTCACCTGACAGCCTGGACCTCCTCTTGGGTACAGGAGTCTTGTCCGCTGAAGGCTCACATGGAAGTCTCTCTTAGTCACATTTTTTCCCTGTTTACATGTCTGTGCTCACATCCTGAGCACACCCACACCACACTGCACCACAAATACATGGCTTTTGTATCACTTCTTTCCCACCAACCATTTCTGTCCTTACAGTTGTACTTCTTCCAGATGTTGTTAGAATGGAATTGTGTAGTAGCCCACTGCTTTGGGATTCCTCTATACCACGTCACATTGCAGAATTCATCCCTCCTCTGCTGCATGGTGTTCTGTTGTGCAGACGTTGCAAGCATGTTACTCAGGTTCCCAGGGGACGGATAGTTGGTTAATTCCTGTTGTTAATGGTTGTGGATAGTTTGTACCTGAGTGCTTGTGTCTGTGTGCATTCTCTGCAAAACATGAAAGTTTTCGTTACTCTACATCCTCATGGTACGTGGTATTAGCACTTTTTTTGGAAAGAACTTTTTGTCTCTTGTAATTGTGTGGTGCCATCTTACTGTGGTGCCGACTTTCATTCTCTAATGCTAGTGCTGAACATATTTGCATGTGCTTCTTTGCCACCCATATATCTTTGTTGGTACATCTGTTCAAATATTTTGCCCATTTTTTTATTAAATTGCTTTCTCTTTTTTTACTTTACAGAATAAAGAAAACAATAGGAACAACACAGAGGTTAAAAACAAGACGATAGGAAATTAACAGTGTTGTTATACTGCATATTGTTTTCTTCAAAGGAATTTCTCAGATTACCCAGTACAGGCTCACAAAACTGACCAAGCAACATAAGCACTAAATGTGCCTTTCAGTAAACTAATAGGAGTTAGTAGTGCAATTATCTCAGCTGTCTGTGTGCATATATATATATATATATGTTTGTATGTACATTTCCCTTCCTCCTTTAGTCCTGCTCCCTGTCTGAATTGTCCTTGCCTTTTGAATGGTTTCTTTGCCTTTCACAATATTTATTGTACCTTTTGGATCTTATTTATTCTTTCAGTTTCTTACACTAGGGAGACAATATGTTGTTTACACATCCGAGTCTTACTTATTTCACTTATGAGTATGGTCTCGAGTTGCATCCACGTACCTATAAAAGTCTCAGGTTTATCTTTCTTTTAACTGAGCAATATTCCATTGTATAAAAATACCAAATCTTTTTTATCCATTTCTTGGTTGATGGGCATTTGGGTTGTTTCCAAGATTTAGCTCTGACAAATTGTGCTGCTGTAAACATGAGTGCACAAATATCGCTGTGGTGTGATGCTTTCAGTTTTTCTAGGAAAATATCCAGAAGGGAAATAGCTGGGTCAAATGGGACTTCTAGTCCTAGGTTTTATGGAATCTCCACACTGATTTCCACAGTGGTTGTACCAGTCTACACTCCCAACAGTGCAGAACGGTTCCTTTTTCTCCACAGACCCTATAACATTTGTTATTGGTTGATTTTTTGATGATAGCCATTTTTTCTGGAGTGAGATGGAATCTCAGTGTTGTTTCAATTTGCATTTCTTGGATAACCAATGATGTTGAACATTTCTTCATATATTTATTTGCCATTTGTATTTCTTCATCTGTGACCTGTATATTTGTCTCAGATGCCCATTTTTGGATTGGGTCTTTGAAGTTTGTGTGTCTGATTTTTTTTTTTTTTTTATTCTTTATATGTTCTAGATAGAAGTCTCTTATCTCAGTCCCTGGTAGATATTCCTTTCACTTTGTTGATGATTTTTTTTGATGTGCAAAAGCTTTTTAATAAGATGAGATCCCATTCAGTGATTCTTTGAAGTAGTTCCCTTGTAGTTTGGTTTTTGTTCATCAACTCTGCCTACCCCAATCAAGATTTCTACTTACTTTCTCTTCCAGTAGATTTAGTGTTTCTGTTTTAATATTTAGATTTTTGATCCATTTTGACTTTAGTTTAGTGTATGGTGATAAACATGGGTCTAGTTTTAGTCTTTGGTATGTAGAAAGCCCATTTTTTCCAGAAGCACTTATTAAAGAGGCTGTCTTTCTTCCAGTGAACATCTTTAGTCCCTTTTTCAAAGATAAGATGGCTGAGTATGTTTGTTGTTATGTTTGTGTTTTTTAACCTGTTCCATTGATCCTCAGGTATGTCTTTTTGCCAGTACTGTGCTGATTTTATCAGAGTAGCTTTGTAGTATAATGAGTATCATAATTTCCAGTAAGGGATTGTGATGCCTCCTGCCTTGCCTTTGTACTCAGGATTGCCTTTTAAATTTAATTTACTGATATTAGGTTATTCAGGATTTTTATATCTCCTTGATTCAGCTTTGGAATTCATATGTATCTAGGAATCTTTCCGTTTCTTCTGTGTTTGCTATCCCATGTGAGTAAAGATTTTCAAAGTAGATATTGATAATCGTCTGAATTTCTACAGGATTTGTAGTAATTTCACTCTTTTTGTTCATTATTATATGAAATTGATTTTTTCTTTTTTTTTTTTTTATAATTTTGGCTGGGTGTTTATCCATTTTATTTACTGTTTCAAAGAACCAACTCTTCACCCCATTCATTCTTTGTATTTTTTTCTTAGTCTCCATTGCATTAATTTCTGCTCAGATCTTTATAATTTTCTCCTTCCTTTGGGTGTTTGGCTTGACTTTCTCTTCTTTTTCTAGAGCCTTGAGGTACAGCATTAGGTTGTTTATTTGTGCTTGTTCTGGTTTCCTAATGTGAGAATGTACCATATAAATTTCCCTCTGAGAACTGCTTTTATTGCATTCCACAGGTACCAGTAAGTTATATTTGAATTTTCATTTGATTGTAGCTGTTGTTTAATTTCTTCTTTAATTTTCTGTGACCCATTGGTTGTTCAGAAGGTGTTTTTTAATTTCCATGTATTTAGGGAGTTTTTGTGATTTCTTTTGCCAATAATTTCCAGTTTTATTGTTCTATAGCCAGATAATATGCACAGGATAATTTAAATTATTTTGCATTTACTTAAGCATATTCTATAATGGTCTTATTTTATTTTATTTTATTTTTTTGGCGGAACCGGGGATTGAACTCAGGTCTTTGCACTTGCCAGGGAAGTGCTTAGTCCACTGAGCCATCTCCCCGGCCCCACAATGGTCTTATTTTAGAGAATATGTTGTGTGCACCTGAGAAGAATATGTATTCTGTGTTGTTGAGTGAATGTTCTGTGAAGGTCTACTAAATCTGTTTGTTCACAAGTTTGATTTAGTTCTGTTATTTCTTTGCTGATATTTTGTCTAGTTGATCTATCTCTTTGTGTCATTGGGGGCATTATCATTGTGTTATTAGTCATTTGAGTTTTCTTGTCTATTTGTATTGTTTAGTTGTGTTCTTCTATATTTGTTTTATACATATTTATGATTGTTATCTCTTCCTCTTGGAGTTTCCCCCTAAAAATATAGAGTGCCCTTCTTTGCCTCTTTTGATCACTGTTGGTTTGAAATTGACGTTTTCTGTAAACAGAACAGCTAATTCTGCTTTTTCTCTGGATTCCTCTCACATGGAGCATTGTGTTCCATTCTTTGATGTTCAGTCTGTGAGTTTCCTTTTGAGTTAATGTGTTTCTTGTAAACAGCATATTATTGGATTTTGTTTCTTGATCCACTCTGCCAGTCTGTTTCTTTTGATTGGTTAATTGAGGGCATTTACACCAGTGGTAATAACTGATTTGTATTTGCTTTTCTTTGTCATTTTGTTTTCCTGCTGTTGGTTCCCTACTTTCTCCCCCATGTTTAATTGTTTCTCCTTCTTGGTGGTTTCTTTCTGTTGTTGCTTGGGGTTGTGGTCAATTTTATTATATTGTTCTAGAATATCTTTCTGTACTCTTTGTAGGGTTGGTTAGGTTGTCATGAAATTCTTCAGTTGTTCTTTGTCTTGGAAGCATCTTACTTGTCCATTAATTTTGAAAGATAGTTTTGCAGGTTTCATCAATCTGAGTTGGAAGTTGTTTTCTCTCAAGACTTGAAATACTTTCCTCCAACCTATTCTTGATTAGATTGTTTGTGCTGAGAAGTCTGCCATGCTTCTGATGAGATTTCCTTTATAGGTGATCTGTTTCTTTGTTCTGATAGCATTTAATATTCTGTTCTTGTTCTGAATTTCTGGGATCTTGATTATTATGTGTCTGGGTGTAGATTTAATTTGATTATAGATAATTGGAGTTCTATACACCTCACATGCCTGTATGTCAGATTCTTATCCCATGCTTGGGATATTTTTTGCTATTACTTTTGCAAAGAGGTTTGTTTGTTTGTTTGTTTTTTTGTTTGTTTTTATGTTATTTGTGTTGACTCCTGCTTTTTCCTTGACATGAATTATTCTTTTTCAAAAAATTCGTATTTTCTTTTTTATTTTCACCTCTAGGAATTGAACTCATAATTTCACATTTGCCAGGCAGGTGCTATTCCACTGAGCTATATCCCTGACCTTGACATTGGTTATTCTTACATTATTTTTCTTTGCATCATTTTGCATCTATTGAATTATTATTTCGTGGTTCCTTGTTATTTATTTTTATTTTATTTTTTTGTGTGTGTGTGTGTGTGTGTGTGTGTGTGGCCAGCTCAGCCCACCAGGGGGCGGGGCTGGCTGGCATGTGGTGCTGGGGATTAAACCACGGTCCCTGTGCTTTGCTAAGCTTGTTCTAAGTAGGTGCTTTAGACCACTGAGCCATCTGACCAGCCCCGGTTCTTTGTTATTTTTAAGAGAGCTTTCTTTTCATGACTGCCAGCTGTAATCCTGTCTTCAAAATCTGAAAGCCTAGCTTCAGTTTCATTCAAGTGGTTTTGCCAATTTTCAATGGAATTTTTAATTTCCTAGATATCTCTTTGAATGTGTTTCATGCATTCTTATTTTTTCCTGTATTGTTCATTAAAAAGTTTCTATCATTTTTGTATGCTTCTCTATTTTTTGATCTATGTCTTTAAATATGCTGAGCAATTCTTTCATTATGGTTGTCATTTCTTTCTTTACTTGAGAGATTATTTCTGATCTGATTTCCTTTATAAACTGATGGAGTTGTTTCTTTTACTTCAGTTGCTGTCATTTTAGAAGTTTTAGGTGTGTGACTTCCAAGTTCTTCTATGCTTTTGTCTCCTGGACTTGTACTGGGTGAGCTAGAGGTCTGAGATTTTATTTTCCTCCTTTGCTTTGACATTTTATGGTTCAAAAATTTTTTTATTTTGATTTCTGTGATGATCCGTATGGGCTTAGGTAGTGTGTCACTGTATTACTAGTATCAAGGCCTCTCCAGGAAAGGTCTGTATTTCAGGGCTATCTTCTGTATGTAGGAGACTTTTGGCTTGTGTCTGTCCAAGATCCTGCCTTCCAATTAATTGAGTGCAGGATGTTGGCTTCTGTTTGGCTCAGTCCACAAACTTTTGGGGTAGAGCTGTGGTGAGGTGATTACCCCAGAACTTGCCAGTATTTTTACACAAGGGAGAATGACTGCTTATAGCAGAGATGACATCCTAGCTACAGTAGTAAAATTATCAATAATGATAGTACACTTTAGAAACTGACCAACTGTGGTGGCTATTGACACTGTTTTGTACTTTAGACTATAGGAGCAAAGTCCATAGCTATAACAGAGCCAATTATAAATTAAGAGTTTGTATGAAAAGTGTTTCCCCCCGTTAGTGTGGATTTACTCTGGGTTCCTCTGGATGAACCTGTTGTGGTGTCCTGAGTGCTTCCTGTGCTGGCTGCCCATGCCACAGTGTAGGGGACTTGGCCAGGCACAGCCTTGCTCTGGACCAAAGCTCCATGGATGGCAGAACAGCAGTGGGCCTTAACTGCTTTCTTATTAAAGTTTTTTTGTTTTTGTTCTCACTGGGATTGAACCTGGGTCCTCATGCATTATTAAGATAATGACTCACTACCAACCCATACCCCAGTTGTCATTTTATTTCTTGCCTTTTTGGGAGTCTGTATCTTTCCTTAATTTCTGATCAGGTATTTGTATTTGGTTTGATTTTGAAGAAATTCAACTGGATTCAGAATATAGGGCTTTGGTTGACTTCTGCTTCGTGCCTAGATTGGCAGGGCAGTGAGACTTTTCATCAGCTAGAACCCTTTGATTTGTATCTCAGTAACTATGTATGGAGTCTGACTACTCCTAGCTATTCTGTTGCTGGATATTCTAGGTCAAAGAGTTTTGCTGTGTTAATTGGAGGTACACTCCTGAAATGGCAAGTGTTGCTTGTATAGTAGTAGCTGCTGAGTTGGTATGTCCCTTAACCACCTTGGGGTGTGTGTGTGTGTGTGTGTGTGTGCGCGCGTGTGCGCGCGTGTGTGTGTGAGAGAGAGAACTACATCTCCAGCAATTCTTTTCTATTTTTGAAGCAGGATTTCACAGAGTCAGTAAGTTGCCTGGGTAGAAATCAAATTTGAGATTCTTCTGCCTCAGCGCCTCTCTGTGCTGAGCACCAGGATGACAGGCGTTTATGCCACCACATTCAATTAGCCTTGTTTTGTTTTTTTGTTGTTGTTGTTTGTTTGTTTTTTTGTTTTTTGGGGGTTTTTTTGTTTTTGCAGAACCGGGGCCCTTGTGCTTGCCAGGGAAGCACTTATTCTACTGAGCCATCTCCCTGGCCCCTAGCCTTGTTTTTGACAACACCTGATTTCACTCCCCTTTTAGGCTGGTGCTGCCCTGAGTGGCTCCCTTGCATTCCTCCACTTTGCAAATCTTTCCCCAGCTGTGAGGGGACTGTGGGACTCTGGTTTCAGGGAGAGCTTTCCTTTTCTAAGGTGGTTTTGCATGAGCTTCTTCACTCTTTAAGATAATCCTTTTGGCTGGCTTATCTTGACTTCAGTCTCCTAGCCTTTGTGGTCAGCAGTGATGGTAGTAGCTGTAGGAGGGTGCATAATCTTTGGAGCATGTTTCCCTTTTCACAAGTGTTTGAGGTTTTTAGTCCCCATTTCCCAGTAGTGCTGAGAGCAAGGTCCTGGATCATGCATGTGTGGATTTTGGGGGATGGAGGGACATTTAGGGCTTTCGGACCCACAGCCCTTGATGTTTATCCATGTTGTTAGGGTTTGTGTGTATGTGTTCCCCCCAAAGCCTCATGACATCTTGGGGAGGCTTCTGGAATTTGTAATTGATTATTGTGAGTGTGGATACTGCACCTGCCCTGGGCAGGTAATGTGCATTACAGTGTAAGGAGAGGAGAGAGGCTGGCAGCTGCCTGAGCTGCTGCCACTCCCTTGCTGTCTGCTTTGTGCCTCAGCCATGAAGGCTGCCCTCTGCCTTGTGCTGCTCTATCTTGGAGCCAGCTGAGTACGGACTGAAACCTCCAGTAACTGTGACCTAAATAAACCTTTCCTTCTTTCATTTTGAGTGTCAGGTACTTGTCCCAGCAACAGGAGAAGAGAAACAGACTCTTGTCAAGTGTGGGTTGGGTTGTGTGGTGTATTATGGACATGAGCACTGTGTGTCTTAATCTCCAGATGGAATCCTGACATCTGTAAACCACCAGAGTCCTCTTCAGGCAGTAGAACCCATCTCCACATCTCCAAGCAAGAAGCAGAGCTTTGTGCTTTCGCCGCTTTTTGCTCAGGAAGGTATAGGATCCTTCCCTCCTCCAGCATTTGCTCTGCAGTCATGAGATGTGACTTCCTTGTTTAATGCAACTTTTCCCTCTCATTTCTCTTTCATCAGGAGCGTCAAGTTTGTCATTTCCCATTGCTTCCTTGGATGAGAGCGGGATTCTCAATGTGTGGGTGAGTTGGGCGCCCAGGTGGGTAGAGAGCAGAGCCTGTGTCTCCGCAGGGGCTCAGCAAAGGGGTAGCGCAGCAATGCAGTCAGCTACAGGGGATCCAGAGCAGGCTGGGTGTGCTGCTGAGGGGCGGCAGGGGACACCGAGCTCTACACATAGCATGTTTGGGACCTCCTGTGGGCCTCAGACCTGGGTTAGGATCGGAACACAGTACCAGTGCCAGGCTCAGGGCTGAGATGAGGACTTTTGCTGTGGGGGAGGAAGTCGGCTGTTGATAAAGCTCGGTAGGAGCAAGGCATGCAGAGAGATCAAGTGGGATGAGTCAGTGGGATAGAAGACATTAGTGCTAAAGTTAATGGCCAGTCTTCTTTCCAGAGCAACTGAATTTGTAGGACCTAATATGATGTCTTAATTGAGCTATTCTTTGCCTAAATGATTTCAAAGTTATAAGAGATGTCCCTTCATCTTTAATATTCCATCTTTAGGTGGTGGTTGAATTGCCAAAGGCGGATATTGCAGGTTCAATAAGTGATTTAGGTAACTATTAAATTTAAAAATTAATTTTAATATTTACAAAAATGAACAGAAATGAGGATGACAATGTCTGCTTTGAGAAGTATGGCATTAGCTAGCTGAGAAATGAATGCACAAGTCTGTTCAGCTCGTGAGCACACTCATGCATGGAGGACGCTGTTCCCACTCTGTCATTTGCTTCGTGCTCTGTGCTGGATGAGTGGCGCTGTCTGTGCCCTGTACAACTTTCCTGGTGCACTCGGAGTCAGAATCTCTGCATCCGGCTCACGCTGCGGTTCCCCCCTTACTCTGGACTGGCATTTACCCAGGCATTCCCGTAACCTGAGTGTGTGCAGTGCCTGGGGGCTCTGTCAGGTGGAGCAGATGTAGCTGAGATGAGCCTGTGAGCACCCATGAGAGATTTGCCATGTATACAGTGTGGAGCTCGGCTTCCAGTCTGGATGGGGCTGAGAGACCCCAGGGGCTCAGCCGTTGCTGCCCGAGTCAAGCGATCTGGTGTTCAGCCTCTGCTTTCTTTTCATAGCATCAGCCTCTAGCCTTTCTTTTTAATGACAAGAACTGCCTTACCTTGTTTGTGTCCGGGGTGTCCCTGGGTAGGTCTGGGGAAACTTGGCCAGAGTGATATCGATGTCATCTTCTGCTGTCCCGTGAGGGCAGATGGCTCTGTGAGTGGGGCAGTGGCTGTATGACTCATGAGCCCCAGGCTGGGCTGTGTTCTGGTTTCCCTGTGGACCCTTGGGGACAGAGTGACTGTGTTTCCCGTGGTATCCATTCTGCGTGTCCAGGCCCAGATGTCAAGTTGCTCGGAATCGCAGGCGCCAGGTTTCCTGCACCTCCTTAGCATGCATACTTCCGTGCACCCCAGCCATGGACTGGCTCTGCCTTAGTGCCCAGGGCCTCTGAGTGCCCGGGACCCTCAAGAGCTCACTGTGGAGCTGGCCATGCTGCTGGTTCATTGGGTGCCACGGTGCTTCCCTATGGTCACAGATGGATGAAGGAGTTGGTGTTTGTGTCCACAGTTGCTGGAAATCTGATTATTCTGCATGAAAGCTATTTGCACTAAAGTGTGTTGTGGTATATGTGGGATGGTCTTCCGGAAGATGCAGTGGTGTGTGTTTCCCTGTTAGAAGCTGCTGTTGGAAAGCACTATTCATCCACAATACCCAGATTTGGCTCTCAGACGGGGGAGGGGACAGTGCCCCTGGAAGCCTCAGCTACCAGGTGGCTTCCAGCACCATCGTACTAGACTGAGACACAGGCTGAGCCATATCTTTCCTTCACTGTGAAAATCTCCACAGCCAGGTGGCAGCATGGTGTCAGGAAAACCAGGAAAAAATGGGTGGTGGATGGCAACTATGGTTTCTAGAACAGAGGGTCTGCCAGGGCCAAGGCTAGGTCAAGGAGAGGGGGATGATCTGCCTCGCTCCATGGAGGGCAGCTTGAACTTTGTGTGACAGCTATGACTGTGACAGTGACAGCAACAGCCACATCTGGGCAGGAGTCTTTATTGAAATCTCCTGTTCCTGCCTTTGCAGTAATTAAAACAGGGAGGAGGACACTGAGAATTACTAGGAGTCAAAGCCAGAGGGTAGCCCAGCCCACAGATCCAGGGAAAATGAGGAAGGAGCAGCAGAGTAGTGGGCCTGGGAAGTCAGCTCTGTGTTGCATGTTTATGGGGAGCAAGCCAGGAACCCAGCAGGGCTTTTGGCGAGGCTGACAGAGCTGGGAGATGCCTGTGCCTGTTGGCAAAGCCTGGGGGTCTCCAGGTCATCTGTAAATGGGGCCCTGTGTGCTCCCGTGGACGAGTGCTGCTGTGAACTGGGGGGTGTTAGAGACGTATGCACTGCCATCTGTGGAAGAGGCCCTTGGGCCTGGACCCTACCCCTTTCACCTGAGGCCACACACAGGCACCTCTCAGAAGGGAAGCTGCTGATCAGTTTGCACTGTGGCATCATTTCTCAGCACAGGTATTTAAGTAGTAGATCTTACTTTTCTCATTGCCAAGACAAAGTACCCTGTACCCCAAGTTAAAGGAGGAGAGGTTTGTTTAGCTCACAGATGTAGAGGCTTCAGTCCATGGTCAGCTGGCTCCAAGGCAGGGTGGCGTGGCAGAGGGCATCACCGAGAAGAAACAGGTCATGGCAGGAAGAAGGCAGCAAAGCAAGCAAAGAACCTTGTCAGTTTTTTTCTGCCCCCTTTTATAATCTCTCTAAGCTACCAGGATTATTAGGGCAGTACCATGCCAATCACTTAACTCATTTAGTAATCACCCACTCTCAGTCTTAGATTCAGCCATTCTATAAAAGCGCCACCTGTGACTGCATGAGGCTTTGAGGGGACAAATTAATGAGAAATCTTAATTTCATGTGCTAAGAGATACTTGTATTCTGCATGTCTGTTTTCAGGCCTTATCCCTGGAGGGAGGATTAAATTGGTGCACAGTGCTGTGATCCAGCTGGGTGGCAGGTGAGATGTCCTCGCACTCCCAAAGACCCGCGGGAGCAGCGGGACCTGGGTGACAGCAGGTGCGAGGGGAGCGCCTGTGTGCCACGTCTTCATCAGTGTAACAGCTCTGTCTTCCACACACAGCTGACAGTTTTGATAAAAAAGATACTTCCTATCTTTTCAGTTGATACTGTTTTTCATCTTATTCTAGTGTAATCCTGAAGTTTAACTTAGTTGAAGTTTCAGGAACCAGAAACATTGATAGAAAGTTTTATTTAGAAATTGATGCCTATAACTTAATATGACATACAGGTTCTTAGTAAATGTGTAAATGTCATTTCCATATTGACTTCTTCCCAAGGATTCTGTTCCTTGGCCTTTACCCAGGGCTGTTAACATGGGAATCACTCTTTGAAAACTCAAACGACAGTCTCTGAGTGCAGTTCTCCTCCTTGCACAGAATACCTCCGATTTATGTTAATAAAGCCACATCTGCTTAGAGATTTTAAGTCCACTTTACTTCATTTACATATAATTTGAAAAGCGAGTTATTTAGTTTTGAAAAGTCGTCTGATGTATTGCAGAGCCTGGCATATGATTTCTGCAGTCCCAGACCCGTGAGCCCCACTGTTCCCTTGCTGAGCTTCTTCAGGACTATTTTTATCTGCGCTGTGACCCTTCTCTCTCATGCCACGTATATACTTACTTTATAAATTTCTCCAACACGTAAATGCACTCTCAGAAGGAAAGCATCCGAGTGTCTGCTGCCACGTCTTCCCCAGACTCTCAGTGGTGGCTCCTTTCTGCAGAGGAGGAAGGGTGTTCTGGGGCAGTTCTGCAGGTTAGGGTGGGCTCAGCTTTGGAGCTGAGGCATCCAGGAGGCCCTTGACACCACAGCAGGGCCTCGGGAGTGCTGGGCTCCCTTCTCCACTGATGGGGACGTTGCAGTACCGTGGGTGAGAGAGAGAGCAGAGGAGCTAGCGGAGGAGCTGAGAATGTCCAGACCCTGGCTTCTGACTGGGCAGGAGGGCCGCTGGAGTAACTGGGCCTCTCTCTCCAAGCAAGGGTGTGTGAAGGAGGACCCCCACTCAAGATGAATGTGTTTGTTAAGAAGAAGGGAAAACCTGTAAATGCCAGGAGCAAGGAGGGACTCCAGTTAGTGACATAAGCCTTAGAGCTGATGCGTGACAGGCCGTCACAGGCCTTCCCCTTGTGCCCCTGGCTGGAGGTCTGGCCGGACCAGGCAGTGCTGCCTTGCTGGGGTCCAGGAGGTGAAAAGTGATGTCCCTCAGTGTGAGAGCAACAGAAGTGCTCACTGTACCCGGGGGGGGGCGTGGCCTGTGGACCTGGGCATGGTGGGCAGAGGCGCAGGGTCCAGGCAGCAAGGGCTACTCCCACGCTGAGGCTCACGGGATTCCCACAAGTGGTCTGCAGAGATGTGTCTGTACATAAGAAACACCTAACACACAAAGAACTCGGGGCGCTGTACAAGCTACAGATCCTTTCAGAAATGAAACCATTACTTATGGAACAGTCAAATAGCACGTTAGAGCTGAGGGAAGAATGAGTGAACAGGATTACCTGCAGCAGGTAGCAAGCCACATGAGCAGGAAAAAAAAGAATAAGAGACAGAGTGATTACATCAGAGGCTGTAAGGGCTGGGGAGATGGCTCACTAGGATAAGCACTTGCCTGGCAAGCACAAGGGCCTGAGTTCAACCCCTGGTTCGCAAAAAAATCAGAGGCTATGAAGTAGCCTCGCCTGGGTCTTGTGGTGTGGAATGACCAAGCGAGTGTTCAGTAAGTAAGTGTACTGTCCAGCTTTCACAACAAATGTGTTCATCCCTGCTTTCTTTTTTTTTAATTGAGAAACAAATATCAATGAGACAGTTTCAAAACTGATTAATAGGACAGTTTCAATAATTAATACACTGTACGTTGTTATCTTCTTAGTGATTATCCATAGTAAAGATGCAGACAGGATGTCCTGTCCAAACACTGTTAGTGCACGTCTTTCTCCTGCTTTCTTTTTCAGTCTTTCTCATGAAGGTAGTGAGTCCTGGGGCACCGCACAAACCTTGACCATCAAATTCCTGCCCTCAGACCCCAGTCACTTCGTGGTTGGCACAGATGTGGTGAGCGATGCTCTGTGTTTCTCTTCTTCCCTCCTGGAATTAGATTATTAGTTTGGGATCTTTAATTAGATTTTAATTTAGGACATTTTTAATGTATTTAGGACAGGGTTTCTCTACACAGGTCGGACTCATGGTGATCCTCTTGTTTTCAGCCTCCCAAGCACTAGGATTACAGGCGTGCGCCACCACACCCAGGCTCAGCTGCGTCAGCTGGTAGCCACTCTGGTTCTCTGGGGCTATTCCCCTCAACACCGTGTGACACACACATTGCTGTTGCTCTTCTATGCTGTCCCAAGACTCTGGGAGTGGCTCCCGTCTCTCGCTAAGATGAACTTGCTGCTGCTTTTGGTCACAGCGTTGTCACTGTTTTCAGAATGACATCTTGCCCCAGCCTCATGCTTCTCTTGGTCTTTCTGTTACTACCAGGGTCTCCTCATTCATGGCACAAGGCAGGATTTGAGAGTGTCTCCCAAGTCATTCAAACCTCAGCAGTGCGGGTTAAGACCAGTGAAAGTTAACGTGATTGACTTCTCACCATTTGGAGAACCAGTATTCTTGGTAAGAAAGTGTTTCTTACAGCACCAGTTCTTTTCTGTGCATATTTGCCTGTTTGGGCAGTAGGCTACACTGGTCTATTGGAAAGTCTTAAATGTCGAGCATTTATGGGACTACAACTTAATCATATGTTAGGTTTCAGGGTCTAGAAAAAGCACATATGAGGTTGAGACCAACCAGATAGCTCAGGGGATTCAAGTCCCTGCTTAGGCAGATGCGGCTTCCCAGGGCTTCCCAGGTTCAATCCCGCCCCCAGGGCACAATGAGACAGCAGCTGAGACTGGGCGTGGTGGCACACGCCTGTAATCCCAGTGCTTGGGAGGCTGAAAACAGGAGTATGTCCAACCTGTGTAGTGAGACCCTGTCCTAAATACATTAAAAAAGACAGGGAGAGGAAGTAAGAGGTTAAAATAACAAAGAAATTGAAACAAATTAGCTCAGGAATGTGATTCTCTTAAGAAATGCTTTCTTCAGTTGCTGATTATTTGGAATCTAACAGACAAGTATTACATGTCAGCCAGCTCTGTAGTACTGACCCAGTCCTCAGTGCCTTCCCATTCCTGTGTGATGGACATTAACTCTTTAATGTTAATTAAATTTTAAAGCCAGGCTTTAAAATTTGTTTCTAAGCAGTTAAGGTGGTACACACCTATAATCCCCATCACTCAAGAGGCTGAGGCAGGAAGATCACCTCAATTTTGAGGCCAGCCCGGGCTGCATAGTGAGTTCAAGGTCAGCCTGAAGTATATAGCAAGACCTTGTCTCAAAACCCCAAAAAGTTGATTTTTATATCTTTTTTTACTCCCAGTCTCATTGATTTTCTTTTTTATCTTTGAGTATGTAAAAGATTACTTGTCACTGTATAAGCTAAATATTTGGTCTTTCACTACACCCACTAATTGTTTTCTGAAAATTTTAGTCCAGTAAGAATATATGACCACATTATCAATGCAGTTTTTGCAGAGGTGATTTGCTTAGTTCCGGGGAGCCCAGCTTCATGTCCTGCGCTTGCACTAGTGAGGCTCAGCTCCGTGAAAATGAGCACTGCTCCTGGAGTCACCACTGTGCGACTCTTGGGTGGGAGCTGGAGGGGTGCTCGCCGCCGCGCCTCAGGAGGTCAGTGTTAACTTACAGCTCTGCGTCAGAGAAAAGTCAGCAAACCGGGCTGTGCAAAGTGAAGAAGTGAGCGCTCTGGAACCGCCCCAGGTGGCTCTGCTGCAGCTGCAAAGGGAGAAGCTAATGTTTGTTTCTGTCACACAGGCTGGCTGCTCAGACGGTAGCCTTCGGCTGCACCAGATGAGCACTGAGTGGCCACTGGCCCAGTGGAACAGCAGCACCGCGGGCCACGCCATCACCGGCCTGCAGTGGTCACCCACAAGGCCAGCCGTGTTCCTGGTGCGGGATGCCGCGTCCACCGTGTATGTCTGGGACCTCCTGCAGAGTGACCTGGGCCCTGTGGCTGTGCAGCCCGTCTCTCCCGACAGGCGAGTGAAGCCGGGCAGCTCCGAGGGCAGGCGTCTAGTCGCCTCTTCTTTTCTTGGAATTTTCCCATTTGTGTCCAGTTCTCCTACTGTGAAGGTTTGTGATGGCTGGAGAAGGAATTTCACTGCCCTTTTGTAAAGAGGAGGGTAAAAGCGGCCAAAGCCAGGTGACAGCTTAGCAGAATGTTAGGGATGTACTAACAACACCTAGCAAAAAGTTAAGAATGCAATTTATTTAGTTTGAGTGCTAGGTATATCGACATTATCCTAATTACTAAAAATTCACCAGGAGCCAGTTTACCCATAGTTCCAGCCTCTCAGTTGGCAGGAGGATGGCAAGTTTGAGGCAGCCTCAGCAGCTGAACAAGACCCTGTCTAAAAAGGCAAACCCAAAGATCATAAACCCAGACTGATTCACAGATGAACACATACGAACGCACCCGCAGCTCATTCCTCCTGAAGGCCTGTGAGTAAGCCATCTGTTAAGCAAGACAGTATTTACTCAGCACCGACTGTGTGGGTGGAGCTGCTGTGGGACTTGGGGTGATGACCAGGAGGAGCCTCGGGCGGCAAGAGTGAGAGCAGGTGGGCAGTCCTGGAGGACTCAGCATTCCTTCTCCTGCAGAAGTGCTTGAGCTAAAGAAGTGGTATTTGTGCTGCATTATTTTTTCATAGCTGTAAAGAACCAAATAGAAAGAAATGAACAGGAAGGCGGGAGTGCGGGCCAGACTCGAGCTGGACAGCCCCAGAGCCAGACCCCAGTGTGCTGGGTGCCCGCGGTCCCGTCTCCTGGGGCTTGAATGCAGGCCGCAGCCACCTGGAGAGTGCCCAGAGCTGCTGGCATCTGTGTGGTGGATATGAGTTTTCTGCCCTCTTTGCCTGGTTCTGTCCACCCTGCCCCTTGTCCAAGGACAGTTCTTTTTTTGTTTACGAGACAGGGTCTCACTAAGTAGCCCAGGCTGGCCTTGAACTTATGGCAAACCCTCCTGCCTCAACCTGCCCAGTGCTGGGACTACAGGCCTGTGCCACCACGCCCTGCTTGTCCAGGGACAGTTCTGAGAACTGTCTCATCCATGAACTGCACCTTGTCCATGCCTGACAGTCCGACCTCAGGAAAACCTTCAGGGTTTGTCACCAGGTGTGGCCTTCTGGGCTGTAGCAGCTAGACTCACCTGTGTTCCTCAGAGGTGCTCAGTAGAGTGGTCAGGGAAGCTGTTTCCTGTCTGGCTCTTGTGGAAACTTTGTCCCCACACTACCCTCCCCTGAGGTAGCAGATAAGCCACTGGCCTGTGTGTGGCAGCATGTTCTTCCCAGCCACCTTCACCCCTGAAGCCCTGCGGCTCTTCCTGATGGTGCCAGTTACACGTCTCTTAATGGCTCCATCTTCAGGCCGCGGCGGCTGTAGCCCACCTGGAGGAGCAGGAGGGTGGGAGCGGGGGGCTGGTGGGACGGGCTGAACGCCTCTGCTTGGGGATGGGCCAGGAGGGTGGGATGGGGGGAGGTGAGCTGGGTGGAGGGGATAAGGTTGCCTTAAGCACACGTGGCTGGAGAGATGGCTCAGTGGTCTAAAGCACCTACTTGGAACAAGCTTGACAAAGCACAGGGACCGCGGTTCGATCCCCCAGCACCACATGCCAGCCAGCCCCGCCCCCTGGTGGGCTGAGCTGGCCACACACACACACACAATAAATAAATGTTAAAATAAATAATTTAAAAAAAAAAAAAGCACGCGTGGGATTGGTGGGGAGGAGTGGGTGTGGCCTGGCGTGGGTGGAGGTGGGCGTGGCCCGCATGGGTAGGGGGTGGGCGCATCCCAGGGCTCTTCACTCTGAGCCGGGTGGGAGGGAAAAGCAGCAGATGAGGTCACTGTCCAGTGTGTTCTTGCATGTTCTTCCCAGCCACCCTCGCAGGCATTTGGTCTGCACACCTCTAAGGTGCGGTCATAGGTTTGCAAAGGCTTCCTTTCAGTTTCCATACCTTTGCTCCTCGTCTGGCTTTTCATCTTGACTATTGGTGTTTGTAGAAATTCAATTTGTTTTCCTCCTTCTGGGAGGGGACAATTTGGAAGACTCAGATCCATGAGAGTCCCCTGCGTGTCCCTTCTCACCTGCAGGCTGGTGGCCATGACTGTCATGGGGGAGCCAGAGAGGCCCAGCGACCGCTTCCTGGCCCTGGTACTGGCCAGGGCCTCGGGCACCGTGGATGTGCAGTACCTGAAGAAGCAGTGGGCAGCCATCCAGGCAGAGGAGAGCCAGTGGCTGCGCCTGTTCCTGCAGGAGGCCCCAGTGGGTCCAGGCCGCAGAGGCTGCGGAGACGTCGGGAGGGCGGTGCTCGGGTAGCCCCGAGAGTCAGCCTCTCTCTGTGCGCGCTGTGCTCTGCGTACAGCGTGTGTGTCCTGTACGTCAGTTCTCTTACAGAAGACGACTTCAGTATTCCCAGTCATTATTTTTGAATGGAAACAAATAAACAGTTTTATACATAGTGAACTTCAGGGGAAATACTGAGTCATGTCCAGTATGCTCTTTTCTGAGAGTATTTCTGGTTATTTTTAGAAGGTTTTTAAAATGCTAGCTTTTAAACAGCCCACCATGAAGTGTATTTTAATGGACTATTTTCTTATGCATACAGTGATGATTAAATGGACTTACTGCATGACATGACCTTGCCAGTTGTGTTTACTTAAAGCTCTTCTTGAGCAGTGAGGGTCTGAATGTCACCCACAGGGCTGAGTCAGACACCTTGAGTGTTAAGTTTCAGTGCTGTCTGGCTTCCTATGGGAATAGTAAGTTAAGTGCTCTTGAGTCTTGCATCTCACATGTGGGTGCCTGGAGCCATCTGTGCTGCTGTGCAAGGTGCATCAGGTGAATGGTACAGGCCAGAGCCGGTTGCTTGTGGTCCCCAAAACTGTGAGGCCCAGTGCTGGGGTCTGGTGAGGCTGCTGTCTGATGGGGATGGTGTTGCCCTGCTGGGCCCTCAGAGCGGGAGGTGGGGACGCAGTGGGGCTTGCCCTGCTGGGCCCTCAGAGCGGGAGGTGGGGACGCAGTGGGGCTTGCACTGCTGGGCCCTCGGAGCCGGA